AATCTCAGAATAGAGGCATGGCTCTCTTGCACTTATAAAAGAAATATTAAATTGTATTTTCCCAAAACAATTACAGATATTTGTTGCCTAACTGAGTAGTATTGATCAAAAGATATATATATATATATCCAATACTAACAATAAAACATAGTACTGACTTACCATGATATTGTCTTTTTTAATATTTCGGAATAGTTGAGAAATGCTCCCTAAATCAATTGAACAAAAACTTTTGACTAAGAACTATCCTCTCAGAGACCTATACGTTACTCAGAGACATATTCTGTTGATATGAAGAAGCTCAGCGACAGATATTGACTTCTATTTTCATTCTAGAATTCTTTGAATAACTTACTGAGAGACAGGCATATAGAATAATGTGCAGTTCTATTTTTCATATAAAATTATGATCATCATTCCTAATGTTCAACATATATCACTATGAGACTTACACTAATATACTACTATAACAACCCTCTTAGAGACGTAGCAGTTACCTTAATTCACCAGTTAAACCAATTTAATTAACAACCACAGGTCTCTCGGAGACATGTTCTAATTAATTAAGCAATTTTTCTCTGAATGTTAAACTTTTTACGAAACTTGTAAAAAGTTTCATAAAATTTTTCATTTTAATGTAACTTGTGGGTTAAAAAATTCAACATCTAAGTCTCCTAAATTTTATGAAACTTGTTTCCGACTTTCATAAATGTGTGATTTATGAAACTGGATTTATGAAGACAGGATATCCCGTTTTTATGAGGTTAAAAAAATTTTTTTTATCGTAGAAATAATTTTTTCCGAAAAAAATATAGACCTCTCTATTATTATAGCCATAAGTCTAGATGCAAAAGGCCTAGTGATTTCGACATGTTACCATAGATAGGAGAGTCTACGGGCGATCGTCTGGATGTTTCACAATTTTAAAAAACATCTTGTTCACAGAATTTTTATGAACAAAACACTGATCGTACAAACAATTTTTGTCGCCACTGTATATTAATAACATTAATATTAATTATTATTAAAGAATATTAATTATCAAAAAGAACATAAGGAAAAACGTGACCACAGTGTCTGCACCGTTCCTAACAGCGAAAGTAGTTTACAAGTAAATATTACAGAACTGTGCAAAATGTACCTAGAGAAATTCAACGTTTAGAAAATGATTATGAATTAACCGTTATCGAACAAATAACATCTGTTTTGAGCAATAACGTTACTCGATATACTATTTGTTTAGAATCTAATAAACTTCATCTATAAGGTACATGTTGATGGCGGATCCAGTCCCACCTTTTAACCCTCAAAACTGTTTTTTCTAAGCAGACCTTTCTTAGAATAATTTGTTTCTATGATGACTACATGTATCTCGCATTTTTATCGTATACCGGACGGGCCAAAGAATAATTCTGGATCCGCCACTGATACACCAAGAGCGAGCAATCGTATATCAAGATGTCCTATGGTCTTATATGGTTTTGCAAGTTCTTGCTCCAAGAAACCATAAGATTTCAAAGGATCTTGTAAGATATTTCGTGTTATAAGATTTTGTAAGATCTTGCCACGTCTTATGAGCTGATCACCTAAGATCTTATGACAAGAACTTACAAGATTCCGCAGGATCTCAAAACATCATAAGAAAAGATCTTGTAAGATCATGCAGTAAGATCTTGTTACAAGATTTCATAAGAAAACGGCAGATCTTGTAGGATCTTGTAAAATGAGTTTCACCTGGGCACGTTTACGAGACATGACTTTACTGGGCACATGTTTCAGACAGACATCTTTAGCGAGACAAGGAGGGATCTACGTGGATCGTGTTCTCATTAATAACTATAATAACTTGAATATTATGCTCACATCATTGAGAACAATAATTTTGACCATAGAGGGAAGAACGAGAACAGTAAAAAAATACGTTTCTATTATCGAGCCTTCGGTAACAATCTTAGATAATTATCGTGGTAAAGAAAATAAGTTTTTAGCTTTTTGTTTTGTACGATAGATTTAGTTTTCTTCGTCAACCGTCATATGTTCTGTTGATTGTGTCGTTATGAAACTCGCTGCCTGACTGAAACAGTGAGGGCCATCTTCTGAATCTCATTGGTTGTTCAGAGATCAAATACTTTCTTTTACAGTAGAAGGCTTCGTTCGTTTTCATCATAAGTCTTTACAGAATATATTTATATCGAGCAGAGTCTCATCTTCTTGTTTTCTGCAATTTGTTTAGAACGGCACTTCCAAGAAAGATAGTAACACATTTCTATTTCCACCCTAGATTTTTTTCTGTTTTATATTATTGCAGATGGATAATAATTCAGATGATGAAAACAGTAACAAAACGTTTCTTGTTCAACGTCGCACAAAAAGAAATCGACAAACCAAGACACAGTTGATATTCGATGAAAAAGCTCGAAAGTAAGGATGATGGAAATAAATGATTTTATCGCTGAATGCGAGAGAGAGAGATGAAATTTCTTTATGCTATTTCAGAGAATATTTAACTGGATTTCATAAGCGCAAATTAGAACGTCGTGAACGTGCACAAGAACAATTAGAACAAGAGATTAAAAATGATCTAAAAGATCTTCGACAAAAAGTAAGTCCTTTTTGTTTATTTATATTACAGATACGATAGTTCACTCGACTTTATTTGTACTAAATAAATTTGTTTTACAAGTTACAGAAAAGTTTAAACCTTGAAAACTTGAATTGATGCTCACGAATGTGCATACTCCTCGAGGTTTTCAGTAACTTTTCTTTCAATTAAGTTGAGAGTATGAATGAATGAATGAATTTGAGTATGTACGTTAAACATCATTGGAATAATACGACGACTTGATTTTCAGAAGCGGTGATAATGGATGACTATCTTTTTACTAATCATCGTCTAGAGAAAAGACAATTTCATTGTCAACATTTTTCAATCACGCGAGTTTATTGCGGTTAAAAAAAGAAACGTTTCCAAGTTTTGAGTTTCTCTGTAACTGAAAAGCGATTATAAAACGAATTTATTCAATATACAATAATATAATGTTTTATTTTAGAGACGTGATGAAATGAAAAAAAAACACGAACAACTTGGTTTACTCGATACTGTAGAAAGCACCACAAAAAAAAGAACCGTACAATTCAAAAATCATACAGTAGAAGTTGCTGAAATAGATGATCAATTAATAACAAATACCGGCCTGTTCATGGGCAATAGTAGTGCTGTAGCATGCAATGATAGCACGGTAAGCAATTGTTTTAAATAATAGAAGGTTAAATGTAAGTTTACGTAACAGTTACATTGTTTATTTTAGCCTGATGTTCAAAATGATGAAGGGAAGAAAGTTAAAACCAAGTATGAATATTGACGAACAAGATGATATATATTTCTTGATTGTTTTTTTTTCTTCTTTAGAAAAAAGCATCCATTATCGAAAAAGATGTCCATATTACAAAATATGAAAGCAACGTCTAAATCGTTAAAAAGTAGTGGAGGTATACATCATAGAAAACATAAAAAGAGAAATAGTAACACTGCAAAACATACGTCGAACAACAAAAGGACTAAGATAAATAAAAAGTAGTTCTGATATGTACTATTATTTCTGTTATCTATTACAAATAAAATGTAGTTTGGTTTTGTTCGTAATATTTTTAACGAAAATTTATTTACGTTAATATTTTATTCTATGAAATATTCAGTAAGAAATAGAGAGTATCAGTGGTGAAAGGAAAAATTATCAAACCTTCACCTGAATAATTTGTTAGATGATTTTTTTAATTAAAAAAAAAGGACTCTAATTTTTGTTAGAACAGACAAACTCTTTCAATGAGTTACTGGCATTAACAAACATTGTGTCTTATCTCTTTTAATTTCTTTATTGTATTCATGGCGTTCCTTCTCAAAGAACAAAATCCTTTTCTAATGACAGTTCACAATTGGCTCTTTCATAAACGTCTTTGAAACTTCAAATGACTCTAAAATAAGATCATTCACTCCACAATAGCTTTCATGCAAAAAAATTTTCTTTGTTTGTGTTATATGCTATTTTTATATATAAGCCCTTTTCATAGCTTCAGAAGACTTCATTTTATTGTTTATGGAAAAAAACATCACCAGATAATACCTACGATAAAAAAAAAAGTAATGATACATTGTTTCAAATAATCAAAAAATGAGCTATTTGGTTTATCCTTTAAACTCGAACAATAAAATAAAAATAAATGTGAATAAACAAAAGATTAAAAAATTAAAAATAGTATTCGAGAGACATAATGAAAGAAAAACTAATAATTCGTTTGAAAAGAAATAACGTAAAATAATGCCGTCGCTTCTAATTGAAGGACTAAATAATATTCTACTCTCGTTTCAGATTACATTTGAGCAACAAAATAAGACTGAGATGTAAAAAAAAAATAAAATAAAATGCTATATCCAGTTTCAAAAACCGATTGATCGCTAAATGTCCTAATTTTCTCGATTTAATCATGACTTTAGTAGGTTCGCACGGTCTGCTACTGCTGCAACTAGAGCTGCTCCCTTTCCAGAACCTAAAATCAATACAAATACTCGAGTAGAAGAAAAGACAGGACACTAGATTAACGTACCATCATCCGACAATGCCAATTGAAACTAAAATAAACGCAAAAAAAGTTAACAGATTGTTATGCTGAGTTCGTCTAGAAAGATAATTTTGGCTACTTAATCGCCAAACATCTTATTTATGTTGCTACATTCCTAATGAAAGGTAATTTCCAACAATTAACTGTAGCCTTGTCTTCCTCCAAGAGTATTTAACTAGAATTTTTCATATCAGAAGATTTTCAGATATTGTTTAAAAACGATCAAGTATATATCAAGTGCGAGTGTACGTTCCTATCTGTCTAGTTGTGATCAACACACCATTTATCTGTAGAATACTTACTTTATTTCTTTACTGTTAAAAAGGATTGAGCAAATTAAAGTTTAGCAATAAAATAGATACAGGATGAAACAAGCTCAATGAACACCAGTTAGATGATTGTAAACACAGATAAAAAGAGCGAAACCAACAAGAACAAAACAAAATTCAGAGAGAAAAATATAAATATACAACTAAAAAACCTAACATCAGGTTAATAGCTTCTGATGCAAAAACTTCCGGTAAAATAATATTTGACAGATTGTGGGCAAAATACTGTTGCCGTTGATGAAAATAATGTGATATATATTTGAGAACAATGAACGGTTGAAAAAAACTAATTTATATAGCGCTAACTTTAATTTCAAACGTTTTTTCTCTAACACTTCTGTCATTGATGTGCTAATAAAAAAGAACGAATTATAGAGAACAAAAAGACTTGAACGCACCAACACCGTTATCTCTCTTTGCTCAATTGTTGCTTGTTATAATCACACTTTCAACAATATCTCGTCATTTTTCTTTTTTGTGCACGCTGCAACGCTCACCGTGACTCCAATAGCACTTCCATCCTCAGATACTGCCAAGGTAAACTAAAACAAAACAGAGTACCAAGCGCCAAGTTAAAAGTCTTGTAAAAAAAGGATCATGGAATTTTGTAGTGGTAAAATTGGGCTTGGCCAAAGTATTTCTCATCTCTTTAAAATACCCTAGATAAATCACAGCAAAGACTTGAAGTTGGGAATCATTGATCAAGGGTCGTTGGTCTTTTATTTAGTTTTGTCAAAGATTTTGACCGTATTTCTCATCAGATTCTGAAAAAAAGTAAACAATATGAAATCTGCTCTGCACTTCATGACATCAGAAGTGCCACAGGACAGCGTACCCAGTGCTCTCCTTTTTATTAAGGATTTACCTGATCTTCTCCCTAAAACAACAATTTGTTGACGTCTTTTGTTTAGTGTCTGATTTTGATTCTGCTAATCTATCAGTGATCTCCCCAAACTATACCTGATGTTGTTTAAAAATGTTAGTTGACTAGGATGTCGAAAAATGTTCTGTTATGTAATTTTCCAGCATAACCCCTACTGCAGTGCGTGCTTTATTACTGTCTGGAAAGCTGCTTTCACTAGAAAAAAATGTAAGACTTCTGGGACGTATTTTATCCCGTAGCCTAAAGTGGAAATATCACAGTGATGGAGTTAGTCAAAAATGTAGACAGATACTTGGTGCACTGATCCGAGTTTCAGGGGCTTTCTTTAGCACATTACTCCTACATATTTATAAAACTTGCATTCTTCCCCTCATGGATCACTGCTAGTGTGTACGATAGTAACTACTCAAAGTATCGTGCTTCCCTTCACTCGATCCATAAACTTGCTGTGAGGATAATCCCACAAGATTGACAGTGATCTTGTATTGACATTGAACGCTGAAACCCTCCCATCTTTATGATCGAAGGAGATGTTTTAGACCCACTTATCTGCATAAAATTATGATAAGTAAAAGCGCCTATACTGTAATCTGAAATTATTTTCTATGTTATAGAAAATCGCCAAGGATTTTCCAGCTTTCATAAAATTCTCAGCGATTTCTGACCGTTTAGAAAATGTTGATTTTCTATGAATTGACTTTTCTCATTTGCCAGAAAATCGATAAGGAATTTCTAAAACGTTGGAAAATCGAGAGCGATTTTCTATAAATAATTCCCAACAATGTAGAAAATCGATGTCGATTTTTCCACATTACTGGAAATTCGATTTTCTATAATCTGGAAAATCCGTGAGGATTTCATACATGGACTTTTTGAAAATCGCCGAGCATTTTCTATAAATAATTTCCGACTTTACAGTGTAGTCTCGTTTCGATCTTTTGCAGCCGTTGGTGGCTCGTGTTTCTGACCAAGACAATAACCGATGGAATATTTCAGTCAGCACAGAACGAGTCACCTATTCTTCTTTTTTGCGAAGAACATGTTTCGACTGGAATAACTTGCCCCCGATTAGTAATAGCCTTATTTAGCGTGAAACAGTTTAAACTTATACTTTCTAGACACTTAAATATAATTCCCAGTGGAAATCTTTCTTCCTCTGTTATTTAAATCTCGGTACATGTGTCAATGTTTGTCTTCCGTTCACTCTATCCTTATTCTCTAGTTCCTTTTTCGCCTTGCTTTCTCTTTGTGTCACATTTTAAAGGTGTTATATATCTGAAGTCCTAAACTTTGTCTACAAGTTGCTTGCCATCTAACAAAAATAAAACTGAAATTGATAAATATTTTTAGTGAAAATCAAACTGGTGCGTCTTACATAAATGTCTATCAAAAAACTTACAAATTTTAATGCTTTACCTTAATATTTTTGTTGACAAGTGTTTGCATACACTTTTCCATATTTCGTTTAAAACGAGGATGATATCTGTATAACGAACCGTCAACACCAACAGTAATCGTCGGTTTATTAATTCGATTAATTAATACAGCTAAACCTATTTTCGAAAAGCATGATCAACTAAACATATAGCAACTATATGAATGAAATATATCTACCTGCTCCCGCTAATCGAGCGGCACGCTTTGATACATGTCGGCAAATATGTTGCACAATGGCACAATCGTCATACGTTGGATTTCTAATACCAATATCTTCTAGTACTCGTCGTGTGTTACTGAATCCAATTCCTTTCAAACAAAAACAATATCAGAAAGGATAATAGTTAGAAAATCATCGAAATAGCTTACCTTCATCGGTTTCCACAGTTGAAACAAATTTTGTATAAAAACCACCTCGTGAATACAATGGGACTTTATAATCGCCATAACCGTCATTATGACCCAAAAACAGTAGTTCTTGTTGCATCAAATCAAGTATAATCAATCGAACAATTTCACCCCTATAACGAATAATCATAGTATATTACAGTGCTTAACATGGCAAGCTAGTATTTTTAAACATACATGTACATTCCACTAATCATTTTTTCAAATAGTTGTTTTGACGGATTCAGTGAGGATAAATCGACTTCTTCATCATATTTTGTTCGTATATGATTTAGTTTTCCGTTATCGCCTGAAATATGCAAAAATATCACGAATTATTATTAGGTCTAATGTGTTGCATACTGAATGAAAAAAGGTTATAGCAGCTGCTATCGCACAAAAATGATAATATAATACATAAAAACTTACCGAAAGCACCCCACTCCATATTAATAATTACCTTAAAACAGTATCAATGATGTTGTGTAAAAATTTCAAATTAGTCAATATAAATGTTTCTTACTTGCTTTGGTTCATCATAATCTCCATTCCATGTTCCAACTTTGTCCAGTTGTTCCATATAACATGCATTTGTTCCTGTACCTAAACAGAGTCATCAAAATTCATGTAATAGCGATAATACAGACGTGGTTTCACCTTACCCAATATTAAACCAATCGATGTATGTGGATCTTTGTATGCGCAAGCCATTAAAGTACCCACAGTATCGTTCACCAAAGCAACACAATCAACGTTCAAATGCTACAGAATCAAAAAACTTCTGTAGTATCATACTGTTTAATACCTAAAATAATAACATACCTTCTCATCTATCGCTGTCTGAAGCAATTTAACAACATCTTCGTCCACAACGTTTGAACAACTAAATCCTTTTGTCCATTGTGTCAAACGGGCCGATGCAAGTCCTATAGACGACAAGGAAAAGTGTTCTTAACCACGACTCACATATGCTTATTCAAGTTCTCACCTTCTTGTTTGCATGGAAATGAAAATGTAAAACCTGGAGAAATAACAAGAAAATTCTATTTAAATTTTCTAGTATTCAAATCAAACAACAGCATACCTAAGGGATAACGCAAACCAGTACTCAGCAAATTTTCTTTTGTCATAAAATCCGATAAACAATCGGCTATATGTTTGAATAACTAAATAGCAAATAAGGAAGAATGCTGCGATCGCCTTTTAAGTATTACAATATTTCAATATAAGACTGGTCATATACCGAAGTCGACTTACATGTTGTCCTTCTCCGACCATTATACGTTGCGGAATAAGAAATATTTTTGACTGAATATCGATACGACCATGTCCAAGTAAATTAATTAATAAAATACGAAAATTTGTTCCACCAAGATCCAATGCTAAAATCTGACCAATTTCTGTTCCATCACTGATATGTCGCACATACGTTGGATACATTTTAATGACAGCGTCTTTGTGTGTAGAAGCACTAAGGCCAAATTCCATTTCTGCTTCCAATACTTGCATAATTTTAATAAGACCTTCATCACTAATTTTTAATGACTCAAGTACCTTTTCAATCTAGAAAATAGTGAAAAAATGCTGCTTATGTTATTATTATCGTCGAAATAGTTTCTTCTTCATATATAAGAAAAAAAGACAAAAGTTCATTGGTTGTATGTTTAGACACCTACAGAACGAATCTGTAATATTTTACTAGAAATCGCCGTTTTTAGGTATTTAAATGCATTTTTTTCCTAAGCGACCTTACACGATGCAATGAAACTTTGATAATTCTTCTTTGCTATTTGACCTTTCCCTATCTTCTGTTCAATGGTTCTTACAAAGTTTATCAAAATACCACAATAACAAAATTCACACAAAAACAACTTTACTGATCACGCTTTACAAGATTAACGAGCTTATTCTGTCGTAGCTGAAGACTAGAAAAAACTCTGATATTCTCCTATTGGCGGGTAAACTTTCCTCAACATGTAAACAATCTTTACGAAACGTTTACCCCGTCCATGTCTAAACGACTTAAACTCACATTTGAACTGAGAATTTGTTATTCGATCTTTTGTTAAAATCGTTTTGGTCTCTAGATTCATTCGTAACTGAGTTGAATATTGTTAGGTAGAATAGAAAGATCTTGAATGAATTATGTATTGACGCTTTTCTTGAAAAGTTGCGTTACTTTTCACTTAAATGAAAGAAAATTTGCTCTTGCCGAAACCAATCCCTATTTTGCTATTATCTACTTTTCTTTTCTTGCGGTTCTTCTTCATTCTGGACGTCTCCGTATGCGTTCGTTTACCATTATGTTATTGACTTTCTCTCAAAAGTTCTCTCATTCACACCCGTTTCTACCTAACGAAGAAAATCATAGGGTGTGTCTGACATATAATGATCACCAGCACATATTACTTTCTCCTCATTAATAAATAATTAAATAATAAATAAAAACTATCGAAGTGATATATCACGATCTCAAAGCTACTTTACTCAGATAACGTCTCAGATAACAGTGGTGTCTACGTGACTTTTTAGCATTGGCAAAATCCATTACGGATTTTTCTGAAAGATGTAACGAGAAATATAATTAACAGTCTGAACAAATGATGCCATTTTTCTGACAAAAATATCGATATTGAAAACCAAGCCATAAAGTCTAAAAATTCCATCTATGCTGATATACCATGGTCACAGCGACATTTTTTCGTCGAAAGCGTTTAAATGAATGATGAGGAAAACGGATTTGGTGGAAACTTGACATGTTGACGAAAACTGTTACTATCATTATTTAATCGTTGATATCACAAGTTATTATCCAACTAGACGGTTCACAACTAAATTTTGTAACAGCTAGCTCTCATTTTTTCCATGGCGAAAATGCATAATGTCTCAGTTCAGGATCATGCAATATGATGACTTTCTTCGATTGTTCATTCAACCGCTTCAACGAATCTCAGTGATAACAGACTCTTTTAAGTGCTACGCATGCAGTATGAAGATTGAAAAAAGATCTACGATACACAAGATAAGAACAAACGTTTGAAAAACATAAGACGGACCACGCGAGAGTGATAAAGCATGATTTTCTGTCAGGCGTCAATGTAAATTTTCTGCTTTCTCAATCCTCAGCTTATTTGTCAAAGTAAAATATCTTAATGCAGAAAACAGAACGTACGCACACAAGAGATCATAAATATGACTTCCGGAAAAAGACGTAGATATGACATTTGATGAAACACATGGTGCAATAAAGAAGATAAAAGAATGAAGAAGAACAATTAAAGTCACAGAAAGAACAAGCTAGAGTGTAAAAGGAGTTAGCTAATGTACAAACAATGCTAGCGAAAAGGCGTACTCGACTAACAATAACCATCAAACAAAAAGAGAATAAACGTAAATACAACACGTGAATTCGGCAATAGAGTTTCTGAAAGAAGTAAAATTCAAGAAAATTCCTCTGATCAGGATCACTCTAGAAATTGTAGTAATTTCGTCCAACAATACTGATGCGTTTAGGGGTTTTAAAGCATTTCAGAATTTCAGCATCAATCCGATCGCTAATGTTACACATTCTAATGCGGTAAAAAAATAATTTATTCACAAAAAAAGCTGCTTCTTTATTATAGGATGTCGTGATATTTCTTTTTTAAAATATAAGCTTTGATAGGGTGAACCCTGAATGACATGAAAGCTGCAGTTCGTGGATTATAGTAACATTATGCTCCGTTTTGTACTATATCATTTTTTCTAAGCTTTACACAAGATAGTCAAAAGCAGTGCTTACTTGATCATTCGACTCTGGATGACGATTTGGAATAATGTATTTTTGTGGTGAAGCAGCTCGATAGCCAACATAAGCAGCGGCTCCAATAACAAAAGCACCCGTAATCGCAAATCCTACTTTTTGTAGAATTGAGTTTAAACCATCATTATTTAAAACTTGTAACGTTTGAATAGACATCGAATGAGTATTGACGTAATTAATTGGCGTGTAAGCTGAACAATAAATGTTTAAAACAGAGGGAACGGATAATTGTGTATAAAGGATTATGCCATTTTGAGAAAAAAGTCAATCGTACGGATCTAAAAAATGACATTTGATAAATATTTGCCAATATCCACCTTACCGAAGGAAAACAGAGTGTATACAAGCTAACTTTCAGTATCACTGTTTTGTATCCTTCCTTTGAGAAAAACCGAACAAAATTA